ACTAAAAAACAACAACCGTAAATCTATTTCCAAGTAAAATTCTTCCTCTGGGGCAGTAGAGACTGCCTTGTCTGCTTTTACACAAAACCATTTCGGATATTTGAAGGCAACTTTGATGTTTCTATCTAGTCCTCTCGTCACCAACCAGCGCTTTCCAAAAGAGCTTTTGTACTGATGAAAATGCCCTGCAACCTACGTTGTCAAGTGTGTCAGTAGCTACATGCTGCCAGTCCCTCCCATACTTGATAGAGCTGCTCTAGACTAGGTTTCTATATTCACTTAAAAGATTTTTGTGTCACTATTGCCAGGCCTTAAGCCATTCCTGGTTACTCTTTTGAATATCAGTCAAAATGTGCCACAGTAAACATGGTACACTTCCATGTGCAGCCAAGCAAGCACTCCGGTGAGACGACCGATTACCATCTCTGCAGTTTGGACTTGCCAGTAATTCCATTTAAGACTGTCTTAATTTGAGGATAAGTCAGTACTTGTCGTCTACTAAAATTCTTAAGGTTTTCAGAAATATATTTCTATTAATCCAGGTCTGTAGCTTTAAACTTCCATTTGTACAACTGAACTTTAAATGAAGGCAAAAAAAAAAATGATTGGATCTTGACTCTGTCCTGTAGGACAAAGTGCTAGCTTTCTTTTTTTTTTTCCTTTGCTTTAATCATAAGTGTATTAAGCCTGCCTTCGATGGCATTATCGAAGTCAATGAGACATGTGTTTCACAGGACAAGGCCACAGTCAAAGTCTCCTGTCAGGACACTGGAAACTCTCATTAGTGAAGATACTTTGTATTTGGTTGTTCAACCAGGTAAGAATCTAATGCTGTTCCTCATCAGAAGTGATGAAGGAGGTAGTCAAGTTCTGGATCCGGATATTGACTGCATGGATGTGATCATTCAGCAAGCTGTGGACTTTTGTTGGTGTATTTCTTTTTTTTTTTTTTTACTGTATATTTATTACATCCTTTATTTTGGACATTGGATTGTTTCTGTTTGTGTATTTCAGTGAAAACTTTCTAACACAGTTTTTGCAAAATACTGACAACCAGCATTGCAGTCTCTAGTCAGAACTCTGTTCACAAAGGCCCCGTCCCCAGCTCTGCATGGTCACCCCTCCCCAGGAGTTTCTCTGGAGAAACTGAATAGAAATTGAACGAGAGGCTCAGGACTCTGGGATACTGGGGAGGCCTTGAGTGAGGTGGGCATGAGGCTGAGAACGGAGGGATTTTGTGACCGGGCACCCCCTGAATTCAGGGACCCCCAGACCCCCTGTTCAGACCTGATTCCCAGAAAGATGGCATCTGGGCCTATTTTTCCCCAGACAGAGATCAGAAGATTCTTCTCTGGAGAAGCTGAACCCAACCTCCAGAAAAACACGAAGTTTGAAAAGACCAATCATCTAACATGGCCTCAGAATCACATTTGCAAATCCTCTTCCTCCAGAGAAGTGTAACTCCTTTGAACTTGGAAACTTCAAAGTCATTTGAAGCTGTTCGGCCCTTGATAAAAGTCTCCGCCTCTGCACTGGGATTCAGCTCCTGGTTAGCTGGCTATAGTGCTTGCTTTTCCAACTTGAAGACGACTTTCCCTTGAAGGGCAGGTGCTGAGGGGTTCTGAAGCCCCCCTAACATGTTAACGGTGCATCACTCACCCCTGAAGAGTGGCCCTTATTCCTACGGCTTCCTCTTTACCTTTTTCTATCATTAGCAGATGAATTATTTTCTAGCAAAAGAAAGCTCAGAGACTCTTCATGGAATACAAGAAGTATGGCTCAAATCGGCCAAAAGACTAAACAACTTCAGATTTTCTTTATTAGGTAGACACAGTCTTTTGTCAAGTTAAATACACACACATGCCCTCTGAATCTGTAATTTGTTCACAACAAGAACGTATCAAGGAACATATTCCATGAGAATCTGCACCCATGGAATCCGACCTTATTAGCGAGCAGTCAGACTTCAGCTGACCAGGCAGCCCCCACGCCGGCTTCACTCTTCTTACTTAAAACTTTCTGAGTTGATTGTTTAAATAGCAGTGTAATTGCCAAACCCTACATTAAGATGCTATTACAATATTCTCCCCTTTTTAAAATCGAAACTTTTTTTTTAAATTTTATTGACTTTCTTTTGGTGGGGGAAGGAAATTAGCTTGGTTTGTTGGTTGGTTTATTTATTTTTAGAGGAGGTACTGGGGTTTGAACCCAGGACCTTGTGCATGCCAAGCATGCGCCCTACTGCTTGAGCTGCACCTTCCCCTGCCCCCCCATACTCACTTCATGAACTCCTACCACGTGCAAGGCATTGCACCAGCTGTACAGAGGCTAAAGGGGTGACTATGGAGCTAAGTCCCAGCTCTCCACTCCTGACCTGCGTGACTGTGACCATATTACTAACCCTCACTGCGCGTGTGTCAGGCTGAGAGATTAGCAGGAGCAAAGGTACAGAAGAGTGAAAGTACGCAGTGCAAAACAGAAATTTTTGGATTCAAAGAGGCAGTGTGTCTGAGGAGCAAGAGAAGTGAGGGATACAAACTGGGAGCGAGGGAGGGTGGTGAGAGATTGCTGTCACCTGAAGAGGGCGTAAGACCTCGGGAAGAAAGGTGGGGATGGTAGGGGAGGCTAGAGCTGGTTCGTTAGAGGAAGGTGGGAATGTTTAATAGAGTAGCGAACATAGCACATACTTCACTTGGAGCATCTTAATCATCACAATCTCCCTATGAAATTTTATTATCCTCATTTCACAGATGAGGAAATAGGTGTAGAGGGACAGAAGAGGAATAAGGCTTTCGAGGACGTGGACCAGTTCCGGGAGCAAAGGGGCAAAGCCTGCAGTTGCAGCCGCTGCGTCTCCGCCCTGTCCCGCCCGGTGCCAGGTTCAGTCTCCAGAGAGCGGAGATCCTGGGGAGGGTGCCCGGGGCTCCAGGTCTCAGTGCACAATGAGCCTGCACTCGTCCTCACCCCACCCCTCCACCCCGAGTACTGCTTCTTTTCCCAGCAGTTTGAAGGTAGTACTTGAAATAGTGGGCTCTACACTCTCACATCCTCATCCTCTTCCTCTCAACGTCTTGAACACAACGGTACTCTAAGCATGCCATGGACGTTCTACCGCGGTCCTCTGGTGATTTTATGGAAGAATGTCAGCATCTGACAGTCACCTGTCAGAGCACCCATTTGGCCAAGGGTGCGCATCACTCTTCTGAATATTGGCTGAAAGATTCGTCTTTTTGAAGAATGATTAGGAGCTAAATCCTCAGAGACAAATGTGCAACCCTTCGTGCGCCTTGAACCTTGAACGTCTTTCTCCAGCTCGGGGGAATTTAACAGCCTGAGGCTTTATGTGAGAGCAGAGGAATCGGGAGTTGGTACGAGAATTTCTTTAAATATTGCAGACCCAAGCTTTTCCAAATGTCTAAATGTCTTTAGCTAGATTATATACAAAAGAAGGAAATCCTAGTTAATTATGACATTGTGGACATTAACTCTGTGAATATTCTAGCATTCATTTAAATTACAATATTAGCTTTAGGCTTTTAACTTATTACTTTAGAAAATCCATCATAGATAATCCAGGAAACAAAGAATCTAGTAATTTTCTCAAGTAGATGCAGATCTATGTACTGTTTTTGCGCTCATCTTCATATTCATTTTTGTCTATCTCATTGTCAAATTAAGATAACTTAATTTAGATAATTTAAAAAGAAGTCTGGCCAGTAAATCTTATCAAAATCTATTTGTACCAAAAGCTCATGAATGAGTCTTCCTACTTTCTGGGTGGCTGTTAGCTTGGAACTGTCTTTCAAGTGTCTGTCTTATGAGGGAGGAATTTGGGGAAGAACCCCCTAAGATTTTCTTAGAAGATCCAAGTCTGCAGTGTGTGAATGTAGTGGCCACAACCATTGCTTCTGAAGTCAAAAGACTGGCCCCGTGAGTCTGGAATAACTTCATCTCTCAGATAATTCCCTCATGTATGAATGGAAAAAAGAGCATCTGCCCTAGAGATTAGTGAGATCGTGCATTAAAAGCACAAGTCAGGGCATACAGTTAGTGCTCAGTAAAACAAAACCAGCATGAAAGGAGAATTAGAATGTACCAAGTTGTTTAAAAATGTTTAGCATCATTTTCAACAGTAGGTGTCACTCTCTCCCCAAGCCGTGGATGGAATCACCTTCCACTGCTAGTTCAGATGCCCATGAGGTTCTAGGAGTATTAGGGGATGAAAGGTAGATGATAAAAGAACTCCCACAGGTATCAACTAAACAGCACAATTGTAATTACAGCCCCCAAACTGCTGTTTGAGATTTAAGAGAAAACAAATTTATTAAACACACACACACACACACAGAAGTATAGGGGAGGGTGGGATGGAAAGGGAGAATGAAAAGGGCCACAGAAGCAGGTCCAAGTTAGAAACCATGGTCTGCGGGAGGGTATCCCCTGGGTTCAGTCCCCAGTACCCCCTTAGAAATAAATAAACCTAATTACCTGCCTCCCAATAAATTACAACAATAAATAAATAAAATATTTAAAAAAGAAACCATGGATTAGCAAGATACTCTCAGCTGTAATTTGAACCTCTTTAATGTAGAAGTTAAAAAAAAAAAGAAATTTATTAGAAAATAGCTCCTTATCTGAAAATGTAACAGTTTGGTACTACCATATTAAAAAGTTAAAATTATCAACTCTTGATTTAAGCTGGACTCTAGATACTTGAAATTAAACCAGCCCTAAAAAGTTTAGCTCTATTCTTCCATCTGTATGTTTTCTAAGTGGAGGAAAGAGCTGCTTCAATATCCTCCACTTTATTAGGTCAAGAGATTTCCCACAATAGGTAGCCTGATAAATACATGTTGAAATTGCCAAAAAAGTTTAGCAAACAAAGCACTTGAAAAGATACAACTATTCCTCTTATTACTAAACTTAATAATTTGGTGATTTCTGTACTTTTCCTGATAAAAATAAAAGGTGACAACTGATTCTCAAAATTGGAAACCAAATAATCAAACAAGATCACATTTTATTCAATAGCTCCAAGTGCAAATACAGCAAGTCAGTTCACAAAGTTTCCAGATACAGCTTTAAGGATAATGAAAAATTGCTATACAAAAATGAAAGGGTAAATAGCAGAAAGCTAGCTCAATTTTTAAAAATTCAAGTAACCTGAAAACCTTTACACTAAAATATTCCACTTACATCAATTCAGAAATGCCTTAATTTAGAGATACCAGAAGTACACTGCAATCAAAAAGGACTTCTCCAAGAAAGAGCATCACCCAGACTGTTCTTGGCGCTGGCTATTTCGGATTCGGCAGCCTCACTCACACTATTTGGATCGGCGTGGTTTAACCCATGGTATTTGCTCTTTAAGCAAATTCTAAGAAGTGTTTAAAATTCAGTAAGAGGCCAACACCACTACTAAGAGTTCTTAAAATGGCCATTTTGTATTTAAAAGATTTACAGATCAACTTCAGCTTCCAGCCTATGGTACCACTGGGGGAAAAGACATGGATTAATATTCCTTCCATCACTTAAATCCTTTTTGTCAGGTTAGCAACATGGCCTTTAAAGCTTCCTCATGGACACTGTACTTTAATATATAGAAGTTCCCACTAGGAAGATAATTAAAGGTTGTTAATGTTCTTTTTATCGCTGAGTGGCCAAGACACATGTTTACTTCTGCTCCCCAGAAGCAATGTTAGCTACTAGCTTCAATTCAGGAAAATGTGTATCTTCAGGAATGGGGTATTTATTCAGTCTTTTTCTCAGCCTGCTTCATCCTTTCATTGTAGGCAACGTATTGAGAGTCTGTTCCAAAAATTCTGTCCCACCATGTAAATGTCGAAGCATAGTTTCCAATGAAGTTCATGTGGTGGAAATCATGGTGCCGAGAACCAGCATAGAAAGGGATGAGATTTAAAGGGTTGAGAGGAATATCATAACCACTGAAATAAAAATGATAAAGATTATTAATGAAGTCAATACACCTTACATAATCGACATTTTTGTTGACAGTAATATGCTTGTTAACCAATTCAAGGAACATTCCACTTGACCTAAGTACTTATTTCTGACATGTTTCTTATTTCTGACAAAAGACAAAA